TTACACTTGAGTTTCGCAAAAGTGGATGTCTCATTCTAAAAAAACATGAGGTTGTTCACGCTTTTTTGATAGTTCGTCACAGGCCAATACATTCCTACTCCGAAAAGTGTTTACCACAAATTGTTTTTAACTGGAGTCACCGTTTTATGAGGTAAAAAACATTCCGCTTTATTGCGCTTCTCTATTTTGTTCACCACAGTTTTGCTATCAAATTCCATTGAAAAAAAGACACTCGTTCTCTTATATTTTTTCATTAACGTCGGCTTCTTGAGATCACAGCAAAAATTACACAGATGAACGTAAATTGAAGCAATGGCAGAGTTCAACAGCTGAAGCAAATTGAACAAATTATGCAAAAAAAATTTCTCTTTCAAAATTTCTGTTTTTAAATGACAAATACAAAAGAGGAATTTTCTAATTAACAAACTTGATGTAATTTTTTAGCTTTTTTTCTTTCCAAATTTACACCACTCCATAGTTTTTTTTGGTAATATCTTTTCTTTACTAGTATCGACTTATGCGTCATTTTTAAGCGACAACCTCCTCAAGTGGCTGTTCTCTCTAGAATTTACCGCAGCAGAATCAGAAGTCAAGAAAAATCACCGTTTATTAACGAAGTGGTTTGCAGCACCGATAAAATTATAATATTTTAATGTAGTATATTCACGTTTTTCTTCAGTTCTGAAACTTAATTCCCAATCATTATATTAAACAGCAATTCTCTTCAGAACGCACAAGTTCCACACTGTTACAGTGTGGAACTTTCCTAATTGTTACAGTTTCTCTGGCCGGTTTTTAGTTCATACTTCATCTTGTCTTCTACGTTTTCATTTTTTCAGCGATACTCTCACTGAAATTCTACCCTAAGAATTACATTACACCTGCAAGTTTTTCATTTTGGTGTGATAATAAAGAAAAAGTTTTTTTCTGTTACAATGTACAACTAATAAAGCTTTATTTCAGGAAACTGCTAAGCTGCCGCACAAGCTAATTTTTGTTATTTGTTCTTCTGCTGGCTATCCGGTCCTGAGATCGAGATAAAGAAAATATTCGTACTTGAATTCTCTTAAACAGTTTGTTATATTTTAAGAAAAAAGTTCCAGGTATCTGCATTGACCACTTGCTAAGGTTAATCGTCTAAAGGACAGCCCACTGCATTCGAGGATAAATCCAATCTTCTTTTCTAACAGACTTAATTTCTGGGAAACATATGCCGTATGAAAGACATTTGCGTCTATCACCTTTAATAATTTTGATCAGGCAACGTTCCAATTCATTCATTGCCTATAATAAATTTTTTAATTTGGTTAGTTAAATTTTCTTTTTTTTTTTAGAACATCACAAAAGGTTTACAGCTTAATTTTCTTATTTTCCTCCTATTCGTCTATACACCGAAATTTTTACTGTAAATAAATTTCTTTTTTTTTATTCGTTTAAGGCAATCTGAAACGCAAACATGTTGCATGCGCAAGAACAACTCTTTAAAATTATTTTTGGTCTCTAAAATTGGTACCTTTAAACCATTATTGTCCCAATTTAAATCTTTTAGAGTTAAGTAATCTGGGTTAGTCAGACTTTTCAAGCGTAGACCTTCCTGCCTCAACAGTTTCAGGAACCTTGAATTCCACATTGGTACGCGTTCACTAAGAACACTGTTGGGTTTTAGCTCACTCGCTTCAACTTTAAGCGAGTGAACCAATCTGAAGTTTTCTTGAACTCATTTAAAAACACGGAGTCGCAAAGAATATCTTTTTTGTCATAACTATCAGAGAAAATTTTCGAAAAAGATAATTTGCTGAATTCAACTCGAATAGCTTTTGGGGTCGGAAAAAATGATGTTAATTACCT